AAAAAAAAAAAAAAAAAAAGGAACTTGTCACATGCCCACAAGTCCCATGCTAAACATTTACGCCTTGGTCGTGAGGCTTACTTGAATTGAACGAAGCCTCGATCGTCAAAGCTCATCCGAGAAGGGGAGTCAAGAACTAGCACTTAGCTGAAAATATGATTAAAAGGCCAACAATACAGGCAATAATCTCAATGCGAATTTTGATATATCATCAACATTAGTGTATTATGTTCTTGCGTGCACACACACTATTAATGGACAAGTCTCATAAGAAGTACAAACATCAACAGGCTTTGAGAATAAGACTTAATTATGACTTTCATTGTAACGATGGAGAATGTCAACTTATAAAATGACTAAAATGCCCCTAAAATTGTTTATGTATAAACCATTGCACAATGAAGAAAATGACTCGAACTCTTAATAAAATTGAAAAACCATCACTCAACAAATATCTCGAAAATTGAAAGAATATCTATGATCGATAAACACATCCAACTAAATGAACGTCGAAATCTGCCATCCATTTCTCTCATACAAAAATTGGCTTCACACAACACCAAAAATCGTCAAAAAAGTTTGCTGAAATTTAGAATGAAAATTAAACTGTTGGATTTGAAAAATATCATCCATTTTTTAGGTAGATATTTCGACACTAATCGTGGGAACGTTTACCAAAATCTTGCAAGAAAAAGTGTTAAGAAAAATGAATGCTAAGAAAATAAGTGAAAGAAGATGAAACAACGGTTAAAAATCGAAGAGAAGCAGAAGTAGAAGTTCTATTGTTCCAATGAAGAGAAACTCTCGGAGGAGGAGAAATCGAAGGACATCTTTCGATCTAAACAAAAAGTTTTTGTTTTAAAGCCAACAGTGATTTTTTTGCTAAAATTTTGACATGGTTCCGTATTTTTTTTTTTTTTTTTTTTTTTTTTTTTTTTTTTTTTTTTGGGGGTTTTTGGGGAAAAAAATTGACATGGTTCCCCCTTTTTTTTTTTTGGCATTTTAGATGCGGTTTTGGTGAAGTAAGATTCTAAAGAAAAAATGATTTAAGATTCCAGCGTTTTTTCAATTGAAATGTAATACATCCAATATATTTTTTTAATCACTGGGACGTTTGACCTCAAATATTCTTTCAATCCTAAGCGATTTTTAGAGAGTTAGTCTTTCTTTTACAAATTTTTAAAAGCAAAGGTTTGAGTTGGAAAACTATTGGATGATTTTCTGAAACTTTTTCAATTGTACAATGCCCAAATTTGAGGTGACCTAGGGACATTTTGTCATTTTTATGTCAATCCATAGTCATGATAAAGTCCTATTTTAAAGCTTGTTGATATTTGTGCATTTCTGGCCGTTTTTTAATACATATTTGCATCATGCATGGGTTTAGTGCACTAATTTTCAAGTTGATTGGTCAGAATCCAGATTGCGATATCATTTGTTTTGAAGCTATGTGAGACCTTTTAGTCTAAGTTATTAGTTGAGGCTCTTATTACATTAGGATTTTGAACACTTTGTTGCTTAGGGAAGCTATTGGACGAAAACAAAACTTACCATATTTCTCTCTTTGATAATTTTGTTATGCATTATTTTCTTGTATCAATTTGTATTAGTTTATATCTTCTATTTAAGGGTTGTTAGGAGGTCCTTTCCTGTATAAAAACAAATTCCCTGGTAATGAAAAGCATGAGCTCGGCATCTCCCTTTTTTTACCTTTTATCATGGTATCACAGCAATTGGAATCCTAGGGCATTATTCCTTCTGTTGACCTCGAAAAGTGTTGCCAACAGATGCCGGACCTACCCGCGCACGCAAGGTCCTACACGCTAAGACACGTGGACGGTCTGGAACAATCCTCTGTAGGGGCGTGGGAGTAGCTCAACGACGCGGGACGAGAACATTCGGAATCCGACGGGATGTTCGTAATCCGATTGTACAATAATTACCAATCGGTGTTCATGAATATGAATGTAAATATCTATTGACTTGTGTTGTGTTGTAAGACAATATTAAAGAGATAGTAAAGTGGGGTTTTTGTATTGATTCTTGCATTAGCCCTTTGATTTTATACAGAGGAAGTATTTATAGTGTTACATATGAAATGACAGCCATTAGATGAGGTGGCACGTGGCCTCATTTCCTTAATTCAAACATCCAATCCTAGGCATCATCCTTGACTTGCTAGCTTGCTGAGCATTTATTGCTTGTGCAGAATCTCATGCTAGTGATAATACTTGACATGTATACTTATGACAAACGTTCCATCAATCATCCTAACAAGATCTTTACATAGAAGATCTCTTGGGAGAAGTGATCATAGGAGATAAACCTTCATAATTCGGGGGCCTCTGCTTCAGCTTCGGATTCGGGCCTTCTGTCACTCACGTAGTACTTCTACTTTAGGGCTTTGGTTATCTTCATAGGCCTCAACATATTGGCCTCGGCTTGAAGGGCCTCGGATAAACAAACCACCTCGGCTGGAGCGCCATGTGGTTTAGATTCAATGGGTAAATTCTTTCAATTTTTACCCAATCCACTGGTTTTACTTCATTGAAGTCCGCGCATTACATAAATGACTATACTTGGACTTGGGGGACTATTGTTACGTGTTGTCATACTTGACCAACCTACGTAGGCCTATGGCCCACTGAATCTGAACCACATGGCGCTCCAATCGAGGTGGTTTGTTTATCCGAGGCCCGTTAAGCCGAGGCCAATATGCCGAGGCCTGTGAAGATAACCGAAGCCCTAAAGCGGAAGTACTACATAAGTGGCAGAAGCCTCGAATCCGAAGCTGAAGCAGAGG